GATTAGAAATCACTAAAGAATGGCTCCCTGTTTTTTGGCAGAAATTATTTGTATTTTTCAAGCAAATTGGATCATTGGAAAGTACAGATACCTGGCTTGTGGATAATTCAAACAGGTTGCAGTGCCTCCATTACATATGACATTTCAATTTGTAAATATCACACCACAGTCAGAGAACTAATATGGGTAACCCTTACCTCATTGAGGAACAAGGTACCAGCATAAAATGCCAACAGCTATAGCCCCAAAAGAATGTTTAAATAGTTTCAGACAACTGGACAGGGACAGAATGCCAGGATTTGTAGAATACATTTGTCTATTGATCCTATGCTTAATTGAAGAGCCCTGAAATGGTTTTAGGCATAAATTCTGCAGAGGCATAGGTCCTTATTAAACTTATTATGATAACAGAATATTCTAAGCCAACTTGAAAATTATTCTTTTAAATTTTTTTTACTGTTTATGTAATTACTGTGGTCCCTCTTTCTCTTCCTTTTCCCCAGCCCCACTCACCCCACCCTCTCCCCTCCCTAAGTCAATCCCCAGATCACTGTCCAAGTCCATGGGTCATGCACAAGTGTTCTTTGGTTGACCCCTTCATCGCTTTTCTTCCAGCCCCCCTACTCCTCTGAAAATATGATTCTTATTCTTTCACACAATGATGTGCACTCTTAAAAACACATATGATCTCGAGATTTTTTCTAATAGTAATGAATTTACCATTATTAATATATTTTCATAATAAGTTGAATGGCCTTTTAAAAATAGTAACTAATAAACTTGAATATAAAAAGTCTGAAAAACTTAAAACTAAGCTTGCAAAAGAAAGCTATAGCCATTCATGAAACTTCCATTCATATATTTGGTATTAATATTTTGATCTTTCACATCATATTAAAGTATATGGATAAATATACATGTATTTTAATGATATACTGCATAAATTTTTCATAATTTATATCATTAAATATTTATTTAATATTTTAATGACTGCATAGATTCTATCATATGGCCACTACATATTTAACTTTTTATTTCTTGACATGTCTATCATTGCCAGTTTTGCTTACATACATATATCCTCACACATATCTCTGATTATTTTCTTAGTATAAATTTCCAAAAATTAAATTGTTAGAAAAGGAATAAATACATTTTCAAGATTTTTAAAAAATTCATGTTGCTATATGCCAAAAATGTATGAAAGAGCCCATTTCCCAGGAACTTCACCAACACTGCCAGCATTTCTTTTAATGTGGCCAACTTCCTAAAATAGGCAAATGCAAGTTATATTTGGATATGCTTTAATGTTGTTAGAGTTTAGTCACATCTCAGGATGTCATGTGGTTAGTTTCTTAGCAATTTCTCTCCCAATTTCTTTCTGAACTTCAACACCAGTAGTGAATAAAAAGAGAAATCTCTTGGAAGAAAGTATTAAGGGACTAAATGGTAATGGAAAAAGTACAATAAAGATTAAATATAAAATAGAAGAGGTATCTCTTTCCATTAAAGTGCAAAAAAAAAACACATTCTTTCCAAATATACGAGTGTACTACAAATATACAATTCTTCTGTTGGATTATACTATGCAGATATTATGAGTTTTTTGTTTTCTTGTTCCTGAAGGAGTCTGAAAAAAATACATTCTTTTTTTACCATTGTCTTTAGATTTGTTTTTCTCTTACATTTGACTTAGAGAAAAAGAATCTAGAATTTGTATGAGTAGTATTTGTGGAGTTAAACTCATTGCTACCTATTTAAATTATCTCAGAGCACAGCAAAAAATAAAAGGGGCTCCATGGTATGATTTTCTTTATTATTATAATAACTAATGTATTTTTGTCAATCACCCAACATGTATGAATGGAACTAAATCCAAGGAATAAAAAAGAAAAACATGGAATTATCTATTCTCTGTTAATTTATTCACTAACTGAGGAATGACGATACTTCTATAAAAAGATAAATCCTGATGCTCACTTGCCTATCCTAATTGACCATGGAGTCATTTAGTCAATGCTCTTGGAGATCAGAGCAGTGATTAATAAAGATTGGGATCATTAACTTAAGAGTATTTGGTCCCATTTTGAAGGAGGACTAGAACTCTAAGAAGAGAAAAGAGGGTATTCCAAGTGACAGTCAAAGTGCTCACAGAAACGAGAATGCACGTGGCATTTTCAGAGTAAAGATAACGTATCAGTGAACCAGAGCTCTTTATGCGGCATTGCAGAGTAGAAAAATCTGAAGTGTTCAGCTAGCCTTGCATACATAAATGGGCCTGAAAGAAGCCCATTGGAAAGAGAAAACCATTTTATGTTTCATGAGAAATTAACTTATAAACAATTTAGAAAATTTTGTAAGGTATTACTATGAAAAACATTGGTACGAGCATGACATAATTATGGCCTAGAGTATAGAGCTGCAGAAGAAACTAAAAACAGGTATGATGCTAGAGACATTATAATAGAAAAGTCAACAGAACTTGGCAACTAATTAGACATAAAGATAAAAGGCTTTTAGGAATCCCACTAACTTTTATTCAAATGTGCATGCACTAAGAATTCCTAAATGAATAAGACTTCTTCAACCATGTACATAATATAGGATCCTATAGAAAAGGGTGTGATAAATTCTGCTGGGCTGCAAAGTGGCTAGAATACCTCCACAGGTAAATTGGTGTTTGGGCTTTGACTTCACGGATAAATAGAATTCCACCAGATGGGAAAGAGGGGAAAATTTAATGACAAGAGCAAAAGGGGGAAAATATCTCTTAAATTTTTAGACCTACATGATTGGAGACAGATAGTAACACAGACTATAAGTGAAAAGCCTGGCAGTAGAGATGCTTTATGTAGAAATATAATTAATTCAGTTTGTATATTTTTCAAACAAAGATGTAGCAGGGGTGTCCAGCCCGCAGCCCACAGGTTGCATGTGGCACAGGATGGCTATGAATGTGGCGCAACGCAAAATCATAATTTACCTAAAACCTTTCTTTTTGCTCATCACTTCTTGTCAGTGTTTGTGTGTTTAATGTATAGCCCAAGACAACTCCTATTCTTCCAGTGTGGCCCAGAGATGCCAAATGACTGGACACCCCTGATTGCAGGGCATGCACACCAAACTGAAGGTATTGGGGACATATGGACATATCAGTGAACAACACTGGCAAAAAAAATTTTGCATTCACGGAGTTTACATTTTAGTATTTGGAAATAAATACATAATAAGATGCATAGCATTTACCAAAGAGTTTTGCTGTGGTTTCTTTTTTTATTTTTCTTTCTTTGTTGTTGTTCACATCAATAAGATAAAATAGGCACATGAGGAAGCATGGGTGACTAGTATCTGGTTTAAGCCATCACTTAGACAACAAAAAGTACTAAGTGACTTTTCCCTCTAAGAAAGACTTCAGACTGTCCTCAACTGACCTTGATGTCTGCAAGCCTCAGACAAATGGTTTAGTAATTGAGAGAAATAAATTAGAGTTGATCACATTTAGTTAGGAGAAAATAAACTCTTAGTGTGTTAAAAACAAGCTGACCTTCTTTAGCTTTGCATTTTTATTACTCCCTTTCTGCTTTCCATCTGTTTTTTGATGCTATGCTGAGATCTTCTGACCTTCTTGGGTACGTCATGAGATGTGTCTGGACTGCAGTTCTCAATAGGTTTCATTGCTAGAATGTACAAAGAGAGAAAATTATTGGAACTGTATTTGCAGGGCAGAAATAAGGGTTTTGAGCAGCTAACCTTGGAAGTTAAATTCTTGTTGCAATTAAAATGCTCAGATTAAATGAAGAAAAAATATGTAACCTATTTAAACATTACATTTCAAACTGCTGTCAAGGAGAGTTGAGAGATACTGAGTAATAACATTTTTTCCCTTATACTGTAGCTGCATAGTATTCATTTCACCCTTCAGTAACCTGATATGCTGAAAACAGACTGGATATTAAAGACTTTAAAGCTTTCTGACCTCCACAGTATCAGGAGCCAATCTTCAGGGCTCTCACGTGACTGGCAGAAAACAATCATTCAGTTAGTTCTCATACAGAATGATCTTGGAGTTTTATTTGTTTATTCATTTCTTTGTTTTTAATGAGTCACTATAAATAGTTCTTCATGTTTTAAATTATGCATATTTTTCTGAAAACTTCTTTATTTAAAAATACATCAATTGTTTTAACCAAAGTCCTAGTTCTATTTAATTATGTCAAAGTAGTATATCAATATCACGTCAAAGCAGTATGGTGCCAAAAGTTATCTCTAGGCACTTGCAGGAGCTTGGAGATAATTGAATCTAATTCTTCTGATGGAACAAAATAATGGCAACCTGAGGAGCCCATTTGAAGATAAATTGTCTTTGGAATAGGGTTTCAAATGCTAAATACCTCCATAAATTTAGTTCAGTAACACACATTTATTAAGTGTCTAATGAGTGCTAACTCTTACAACAGGCATGTACAGTCCCAAAATGAATAAGGTACAGTTTCCCTCAAGAACTCATAGTCTAGCAAGATTTAGCCTTATTAAATTATTTTATAATAATTTAAAATTATTTAGATTTCTAATTTTCATTGTGATCTGGCCAAACTCAAATATATTTCATTTTTAATCATATAAACCATCAGGTCTCCAGCTGGTAATAATTTATTTAATAAATGCATGGCTAAATTATAAGCAAAGATTTTCATACTATTTTAGAAGAGATTTTAGATATCTCTTATCATCTACATTTTATAGCCAAGAAAGCTGGCAGGAATCTGACTAAACCCAAGTTTTCAAAATCTAGTCAAAAAAACTTTCCACCGCCATTCATCTGAGATTATAAAATACAGAAAAATAATAATTACTTGGTACTAATGATCATCTTAATTGATAGTGGGATTATTATTTTACTTGATGCACTGAGGATGGAATTCATTCTCTGTTTTCCTAGCATTTCTCATGTATTATTCCATACCATTAACTGCTTAACAGATATATTTCCTTTGTATTAGTTTTCCAGATCAAGAAATTCGTGATGTGGCAGTTCAGCAATTAGACAACCTCTTGAATGATGAACTGCTGGAGTATCTCCCACAGCTTGTACAAGTAAGAACAGCAGAGTTGCCAAGGAATTCCAGGATTTTAACTAATAATTCTCTTTAAAAGTTTTAGATGAATCAACAACAGACTACTTAAAGTGATATTGCAATTTGGCTGGCCAAGAGGTCGAATGATAGCTCATATGTCAACATGGGCAATGCAGACATTATCTAGACAAAATTGGTACAGTTACATAAAAGCCAAAAAACAACTTTTTTAAAAAGGAACTTCACTTATTAATTAGAAATGGGACAAAATATGAATGCTTGTGATGAGATCTTTGTATCTGACTATGTAAAATAATTAAAAATTAACCTAACAAGGATTATATAAAAATCAACCTGTTGTTATCCAGTTCCTCATATTTATGTTTCTTGTCTTTCCCTTAGAGTATTCTAAATTGATTATAAATTCTATAAAAGTAGTATAGTGAAATAGTCCTTAAATTCTGCCAGCAGAGAATGTTTTAGTGATAGAATCAAATATCACAATGTTGGAATAATTTTTGGAAATAATACAAATTTACCTAAAATATGAGCTAAGGTTAATTTAGTCTGAAGTTTCTAAACATAAATTACAAATGACCATGTAAATGACTGAATATCCAAATTACAAATGATATATTTTTTTACCTAGTGCTGAATATGTCTAAAACGGTGGTCTTTATGGGGTTATTTTTTATTTTTAAGTTTTTTCTTTTATCTCAGGTGTTTTCTTATCTTAAAGGTCAGGTTGCAGTCAGCCCAGTATTAGCAAGTAAGTGAAAGAAGGTCACAACAGCAGTATAAGACAACATACGCTGTGCTTGTTATACATTCAGACAGCTGCAAAGGTTTATGCAAATATGCTGAAATCATCTTTAGCACCCTCACACCTTAGGAATTCATACAATTTCTCGTCTTTGAGGATGGTTAGCATATTGAGGTGTTTCTTCAGGTGTGTGAATGACGTAGCAACTCTTTCTGTTGTCTGTACTGTGTGTACATATGTGTAAGAGATGGGGGGAAAGAGAGATACAGAGAGAGAGAAAAAAGACTTAAATGACTTATTGAGCACCTAAAGAGAGAAGCTTTGCCTCTCAAGCAGGAATGAACATTTTTATTAAGAGAACCTGGCTCTCAGTGTTACAGCACATACTCAGATCCCTGGGATGATGATGGGGTCCAGGCACAGCCTGCTGATGTTGAAGCCCTTCAACAGCGCACATAGAGGTCTGAACTACATCTCTAAGGAGACCGGGGGCTGCCATTGCTGCCTGTGTTTTCCACCAAGTTGGGTATCCTAGAAAACATGAAGAGAATTGTTCACAATAGAGATGAGGGAAAGAATTTGGGAATGTGTGGGTTAAGGTGGCAACAATCAGCTTTCCAACCTATAAATAAAGCTTCAAGGTCTGCAGGTTAATACTGATACATCAGTTGGTGATTTTAGTTAAGGCTTTGGGTGTGCACTAATTGCATCTCTAAAGGGGTAGAAATATCTATTGCATAATAATGCCATTTTTATATCGAGAACACTGTTCATGATACTATGTGTTTGTGCCAGGACTCTCCTCCTAGGCATGGCTGGATTCTACCAACCATCTGCTCTTATTTATTATCCTGTGATACTAAAGTGTACATAAGGAAAAGAAACAAGACTGCACAAACCTAAATTGTGTGATCTATGTGTGCTCTGTTAATAGTTATACACCAGCAAATAAATGTTAAATATGTAATGTAATAAATATATTACATTATTAACATTTTGTTAAAAGGCTTATGACATTTTCTGTGGTCTTTTCTTAAGCCTCTTAAGTCCTTCACTATTCTGCTATAATTTTATTACTGAGAAAAAAGGAATAAAGTAATTATATGTCTTACTTCAGGCTATCAAGTTTGAATGGAACCTTGAAAGTCCTCTGGTGCAACTCCTACTACACCGCTCACTGCAAAGCATCCAGGTTGCCCATCAACTTTACTGGTAAGATAAACTACAATAGGATAGGATGCACTTTCTGGAAGCAAAAGATCTCTTTACCTTGTAATGGATTCAAGCCTCCACTTAAAATTTAGCCAAATTTGAGTTTTTGCCAAGGTTTTCTTTATGCATATAATTTAACTGTCATCCTCAAAATCTTCCTTTTGCACTATTGCTGCTTTTAAAATCCAATATGAATTTTAAATCTACATGATATCTTCCCTATAGCTTTAAATCACAAAGATTATTATGGTCCTATCAGCTAATTGAATATTTCAATAGAAAACAATTATAAGACTGTGGATATTTTGGAATAATGTGTGTTTTAAAAGTTATTTCTATATAATATTTGTTATAAACTGTGGAATCTAAAGGTTGACATATAATCTTTCTATTGAAAATTCCTAGGGGCCTAAACTTTTGTCCAAGAATAAATTTAGAAGATGATTACTGGAGAAATAGAATTATTTGAGAGAGAGCAGAATTTCTTCCAACATCACTTACCCTTGATCTTATTGAACATGATGGTCTTTGGATGCTATTTTTTCTACCTTTCTTTCATTATTTACTTTGTAGATTCAATTTCATAGAGAAAATTTAAAAATTACAAGTTTTAATGACCTAAGGATAAAATTAGGTCTATCTTTTGCCCTCATGTGTGTATGACAGGCATAGTTTACTGGCTTCAACTGATAGTAAAGAGCTTAAATTAATAGGAAAAAAAAAGAAAGTCAATATCATTTTCTGATTCAAAGAAAAGTACTCATAGTGACATCACTCTTCCCCTAAAAATGACTCAGGTATTTTATAGCAAAGTAGAGATATTAGGAATTATCAGGCAGCATGTTTGGTTTGAAGTCCATTTTCATTTTAAATGCCTAATATAAAAAGCAAAACAATTTTCTCTGGTGTGTCAATATGAGTCATCAGATACCTTGACTAGCAGTGGGTCCTTCACTTAATAGACTCTCTTATCAAGTTCTTAATGAAGTCTTATTCCCTTCAGTTTTTCAATCAGCTACTTTGGTGCTAAGGGAAGTTATTTCAAAACACTTGATGATGTTCTGTTTTCATATTGAAGCTTGAACTCCATTAAACTCAATGTTTATTTCCCTTAAAACTTTACTCTTCACATTTTTAAACTTGTGCTCATTAAAATGAAAGCATATTAAAAAGCAACATAACCAAATAACAATCTTCACTTAAATATTTGAATTAAAATATAATATAAATGTATATAAAAACATATTTTAGCAACCTTAAAAATACAATAAAATCTTAAAGACATACTAACACATTGATTGTTATAATTTTAGTGCCGCCTTAGTAAGTTCTTCATCTGCTACAGAGGTGTGAAAAGTTGAGGCATTTCAAAGGCAACAATAAGTGCAAACAAAGTAAATCAGTGTAATACTTACAAGTTCACAATAAATACAATCACGTTAGTTCCCAAAGAAGCTGGGGAAAAGTCTAATGTTTACCCTACTCCTTTACAAGATGTTTGCTGAAGAGACTCCTCCAGTAAATCACATACACCTAAATTTCCCTCTCAAATTTTCCTCTCATAGTCAGTTCTAAGGAAACTGGCCTAAGATAAACATGTCTTTATTGAGGATAAAGAATTTAAATACATGTTTTTAAAAAGTGGAGCATCCTGTGCTATGAGATGTATCATAAATGGAGCAGCAATATTGCAGTCTTTCATACTCTTAACATTAAGTCCAGTTAAATGAGCTGAAAGAGGGAGCCCATTTAAATTAAAATCTGTATGGTAGGGAGGCATTTTGTAGCATGTCTCCTTTATAAATTGTTACTTAAGGCCTGTGCTGCAAAACTCTGGAGGTGTTTCCTTCAATGTGTGGGGATGACTAGAGACAAAGATCTCATTTGCAGACTCTAAGTTAAGCAATTCTTTTGCATTTTATCAACTGATGTATCACAAGCACCTAGTATAGTACTTGTACTTGACAAAAGTCAATAAAGTACAATTGAGTGAATTAATAGGACCTAGTCAGCTAGGCCAGGCTGTGCACATGCAGATTTATGACAAAAAGGGGCAGAAGAGGGCTGCTTGAGCAGTCAGTGTGGCTTGATGCAAAACTAGAGTTGGCAAGACTAGAGCAAATTCTGGAGAATGGCCCAATAAGGTATTAGGCAATGAATATCATTAGTGATATCAAAACTGGACTGGAAGATGAATGAGAAGAGAAAATGGGGCTAACCTGATTCAGGAGTAAAAGCCTGAAGAACAAGTTGACCCAGCAGTATCTGATGAACCAGCTGGGAGGACCACAGAGTGAATTAAGCCTATGGTGTCTCTGGTAACCGGAGGCCTTTTCAAGGCGGCACATGTATATAGGACCATACTGTATAAGCTTTTATATGCTAACCATAAAATTGAGATGATGTGAAATCTGTCCATTTTCTAAACAATTTACCTTAAACTCTTTTTTTTTCCTGGAATTTTGGGGCAGTTTCTCAAATCAGGAACTATTCAAAATAAAGTAAAATAATGTGGAAATTTTGCATCATGCGATTTCAAGTCGCACATGTCCCTCTCATACCGTCATTTAAACATATTTCCCCTAGTGCCTGAAATTCTCTCATTAGTGAGTCACATCTTGTTCCCTCCTGGAAGTTCTTTTCTAATATTAAAAAAATATATACTGAGAACATAATAGTTATGATGAATTAGTTTATCATTTGTTCATTTTTGTGACTAACATTGAGATGCTAGACACAGTTGAAATACTAGGGATAAAAGAGAATGGTCCTTGCCTCCACAAGCTCACCCGCTAACTGCACATTAGCATTCAGGCGGCGGGAAGGAAACTGCTCGCCATCTGGTGGGGACAAAGTGGATGGAGGAAACTGACAACAAATCCTGTCCACTTTACAGCTGTGCCTATGACCTGTTCCAAATGCGTCTTCTGGGCAGAGGGGCAAGGTTGGCCATCAAGTATAATAAAATAAAAAGCCTAAATGTATGCTTCCATTCTGTCAGAGTTAAATACTGATAAAGGAACACAAATGAATGCACAAAGGAGGTAAATGCTCTCTCTGCTTTGAGATCTGAAGCACTCCCTGAAGAGTGAAGAGCTGTACATTAGGGACTTACAGCAGGTGTAATAGGGCACACGTGATACAGAATCAATAAGAGGCTTTAAAGTCTCAATCCTTTACCTTCTAGAATCAGTATATTGATAATAATTCACCTTTTTTACTTTAGAATAATAGGTAATAAATTATTGCTTCACTTTTTGTAAGGGAAAGATATGTCTTGCTGTCATTTAATATTGATCTGGTATAATCATCTTTCACCTTGTTGTCCTCAGAAAACTATACACCAGATAAAATCCTTAAAATAAGCAATGCACTGAACTAACAATAGCTGTTCTCTACCCCAAGCAATCTGAAAAAAAGTGATGGATATTTGTAAGAAAGTACATGTTTTATACAATAATTTGTAAAATCCATTAGCACAATTTTCTAGTTAAGGCATAATATGGGAAACAGTTCTTCTCGTCTTTGTTATTCCTAGTTTACGTGGTAGTTTTTATGAAGTTTCCTTAATACAAATAGTTTTAAAAAGAACTCAGTTTTTAAATTAATTTTCTAATATCATTTAAGTATTATTACTTCTATTAAATATATATGAAAATAGAATTTGATATACAGTTTTACCACAAATCCGTGCAAAAGCCAAGAACAGAACTCCACCTAAATTTATTCCTGGTTTAAATTATTTTTTCTTTAAATTCTTCTATTTTGTTAAAAAGTGAAGAGTTATAAAATGAACACTTTATATATATATATATATATATTACCTCTAATGTTGAAACTTGAAAAAGGAAAGTTAGCAACACACTTAAAACTTTACCAGAAAGAAAGGAAGAAAGGAAAGAAGGAAAGAAGGAAGGGAGGGAGGGAGGGACGACAGGAAGGAACAGGGAAAGAGGGCAGGGAAGGGAAGGAGAGGGGAGGGGAAGGGAGGGGAGGGGAGGGGAGGAAGGAACTTAGATCAGATCTGGCCTTTGGGAACTGAACTTTTTAATCCACTCCCTATCAATTTTTTATTATAATAACCATATGCAATTACATCACCACTTTCTCAGATAGTAATCTGGTTTCCCTATAATATCAGCCTCTTCTGTTATTTCTTATGTTAGATAGTTGGGGTGAGGCCTAGAAAATAAGCATTATTGTGCTTAGTTTTCATTGTTTCTCAGTCAAGACTACAGCTTTGCTCTAGCCAACAACAACAAGAACAACAAAATACAGTCCAAAAAAAGGTATCCTGTTGAGAAATCATCTTTGTCTTCTAATAATATTTGAATTTGGCTTCCAAAATGAATAGACTAACATATATTCATAGAGTTACAAGATTGGGAAGTTAAATGGGACCTTAGAAATCACCTGCTATGATACATTTTTTCTCTAACCACTTAATTAAAGCCCAGAAAAAGATTTCAACAAGTGATTCATCCAATGACAAGCATCTAGCTGGTTGAAGAGTTGAGATTAAAATCTTTTTTTCATGACATCTCATGACCAATTCAGATCTCTTTCTAATTCAACATCTACTTCTAAAAAATGCAACTTGAATCCATCAAATGTTTTTTATATTAATAATTATCAATACATTCAACTTAAAAGCATACTAAAGAAAAAAACAATATCCCCAGATTGAGATCTTTATATGTAATAGCTCAAAATGTTTTCTATTAGGCATATTGGTGTGACCCACAAATGCTCTCAATTATCATGTTAATTAATAGGTATGTGCAATAACCTCAAAAAAAACAAAATAAAAACTCTATACTTGAAGGAATTTGGAAGGAAACCATAGGTTTTTCCCCGCATCATTTTGTTGTGGTTTCTGATTCATACTAATTTGTTCTTCATTTTAGTATTAGACCATTAGTGATGATAAAGTAATTACTGAGTAATTTACTTTATAGATTTTGTTTGTACTTATTTTTAATACATATTTTATGAAACAA